GTTTGTATTGAGACAAGCATGCCTGCGACTGTCATTCTAATTTCAGAAACCAACAACCCAATTGCACTTTCAACAATGATTCATCCCACTAAAAATATCACCACTAATAGCACTAATGCATTAAAAAAGTAAAAAAAAATAAAAAAATATATAACTCCAAACCAAAATATCACATCATTAATGACGGGACCCACTACCACCTAATTAGTGGGAGCACTAATTAGTGCTCCCAAGCATTATTCTTGCACTTTTGGTACAAAAACAAAAGAGAATTTAGGATCATCTTCAAAATGGGCCAATTATTATCATCATTATTATTATTATTTAACGTTTTTGGTGTATAACCAAAGAGATAAGGACGTGATTTGATTTTGACAAGTTTGTTTGTTTCTTTTGGCACATTGCTTTACACAGTCACAAAGACATTGCAAAAAAATGTAATTTTTATATAAAATGATATACTTTCTAATAGTAAAACTTTTATATAAAAAAAAGAGAATTTTAAGCTTCAAATGTTCCCAATTCAACATCACAACTACCACACTCTTGCTTTTAAACCTATCACCAACAATTAGTTAGTGACTTTTTTAATTTTGTGTGTGTTTTATAATGAAAGAATGAGATGGAAAGGGAAAACTATAGAAACTTCATTATGTTAAATTCATGAGTTTTAAGAGAAAATAATATCTTCACTCTACCCTATGTAAAGCAAAAAATTTAGTTTATTTTGAAAATTAATAGCACATATAACCCTCTCACATACTATGCCCCAAAAAAAAAAAATGTTATCTAGATTTAATTTCCATTTCCTTGAGACCAAGATTTGCGGATGAGGCACCTTTTATTAAATATATATTTGGATATGAGTCTCATCACCGCAAGATCAACTATAAATTTGATCACATCTCGTTTAGTTTGAACTGAGTAATAAAAAATTTGCTAAACATGCACTCTTACCTCCTATTTTCTTCCTACCAATTATTAAAAATTACGTTTATCTTTTAGTTTTCAAACTAATGGATAACATTATGATATTAAGGCCAAAGTTTGGCAATTGTAAAATAATCTATCTTTTTATCTTTTTTCCATCACATCACCTCTCTATTTTTCTGCACATCTTTTTGTAAAAAGACAAAAAGTGCACTTATTTAGATCATGCCAAACAACCCCTAAAATTATTTTATTTGTATATGCAACTACATGTATTCCACGACAAAACTATATACTCACTAGGGGTAGGCACGGGTTGGTTGTAGCCACAAAACTTCCAATCTGTCATTCGTTTACTATATTAACTGATTGGAAAAAATCAATCCGCATCTGTCTGCCAATTCGGCGGATGTGGATTGAGCGGATTGGCAGATGAATGCAAATCGGTTTGGCGGTTTAAAATTTTATAAATTTTTAACATAATTCAACTTGTGCGCTTCCTCAAAAAAAAAAAAATATTACAGTTAATGACTTAAAAAAGTATTGTAATCACTACATGCCTCATCTAGAGAATGCCTCATCTAAAGAAAGAACGTTTAAAACTTTAGAATATTACAATCATTGCATGCCTCATCCACATATTACAATCACAACATGTCTCATTCACATAAAGTATAATAATTTGTGATTCTTAAAATATAAAAACAATTCAAATTATCAAAACCATGAATAGAGCAGTAATAGAGATTGTATGCCTCTATATTGTTACATCTATATCTGTTTTTGAAAATAAAAACCAACCAGCATATATTATCTTTTTTATTTATTATTTATAGAGTTAGATTTAAAAATAAAAAAATATACATAAATAATACATTAATGTTTTTCAATTCAAAAAATATATTCAAATCGAAAACTCTTTTTCAATAAAATATTTAAACTCTTTCTCAATTGAAAATACAAACAGAATATCTAAACAAATTAAAAACACAAAGTCTTACAAATTATTTAGGGTGCTCGTGATTTGGCAGTTCAGTTGCGGTCAAAAAAACCTCAAATCTGCCAAACGTTCAAAATTAGGCGGATTGAAAAAAATCAATTTGCAACCGTCTGCTCGTCATCACACATCCATCCAAAATGCGGCGAATTAGTTCAGTTTGGTCGATTTGGGCGGATCGGTATATTCTCTGCTCACCCCTTATTCTCACCAACCAAAAAGTAGGAACATCACTCATATATATTTTAGACCTTTCGTTTTGGAAATTTTTTGTTTAATATTGTTTTTAAAATTTTCATTATTTGTTCACGAAGAATTTAGAAACATTAATTTTTTTTTTTTGTGCAAAAATAATTTTAGAAAATCCTAAAAATAACTTAAAAGAGTATCCTAAAAACGGGTGCTTTGAAAATAATAATAATAATAATAATGAGTTCAACTTCTACTTTTTACTTTGATATGTCTCATGAGATCATGCTCTTGCTTCTCATTAATAAATTAAAAGATTTAAATATATATATATATATATACATATATATATAATAAAAATAAAAATAAGAAGAAGAAGAAAAGAACAGATGATTGTTGAGCTTCAAAAAAGGTGGATTAGGCATGACCATTTGAAGTCAAATAGTGAAAAGGAAGAGTGGAATGTTTTAGGCACAAAAATTAAAATATTCACATGTATTTTTTTTTTGGGCTTGGCCTATATAGAACAAATTTTTGGGCCAAACAGCAGAACATAAATTTCCGGGCTTTGTCATATTTGCATTCAAAATTTCTTGGGCTTCTGTCCAAACAGGCTTTGTCATATTTGTTTGTTCAATAATATATTTGGATTGGCCTAAAAAGGTTATCAATTTATAATTTGGCGAATTAGTCTAATTTTTTTTCTTAACCTACCATTATGTATTTCACCACCCTCTTGGAATTCAAACGGATTTTAATTTTCTTAACCAAATATAACATTATGTATTTTCTTAAATTATTAATCCAAATCCAATCACCATATCTCCTCAAACAAACATGAGGTACACAGGCTTTTCAAGGAATGAGTCACCCTTCTCAGTGAATCCAAGCAAATATGAAATTTATAGTGGTCCTAGTGGATAGGCATGATCTTTACAAGGTGTACTTGGATTGGGCTCAAGTTTTTCAAGCTCGCCACCCTTTCTCCTCTCATATGCAGTGTTCCATTTTATTTTGTCACTCCTCTCCCACCCTTCCAACAAACATTGTAAACAATTTTAATATTTTAACAAGTTTGTTGGCTGTACCCTTAATCATTATACATGTAAACACTATATAGTACATTTGGTGCATTTTTTATAAACTAAGGTCTCGTTTGTCAATTATACATTTTACTCAAAAAATTAAAAAATCGTTATAAGTTGTTATATCACTCTCTGTACTTTTCTGTATATTTTTTCGTAAAAAATTAAAAAGTTATTAAAATAGCATATTCCCAAACGAGGCCTAAAAGTTAATAATCAAAAAATAGAAATTAAAGCATATCTTCTCCTATTTCTCAATAATCAATTTTCCCTAATTTATTTAAGTTAAATCTAAGTTACACCAAATAGTTGACACATTTTAAAAATAAAAAACTAATAAGCAGTGACATAAACTCTACCAAACAATATATTACGTAAAAATCCTTATTATATAAAAGGATGACTTTGTTATTTTTATAAGGTAAGAGTGAAATAGTATTTCTACCTCTAATTCCGTGGAATTGAGTTAGAAATTTCAATCCTTTTATGGGAATATCAATCCTATTAAGATTCATAGTCCTAAATCATTTTATCACAATTAAATATAATTTTAATAAAATTCACAAATTATTAATTCAATCTCACCCTTTCAAATGCTAAACAAACTTGGCATACGAGGCACAGAGTAGCAAGGAGGCCAGTTCTTTTTTAAACACAACATCAAGCTAATGTTTTGGTCCCCATGGTTTGCACTAAATTTTTATTTTCCAGCAAAGAATCCTATGTGATGCCCTTATCCCCCTAAATATTCTTTACTTGGGTATAAAGAAACTCCAAAATATTAGAACAAATCTCTTTATGATTTTCTCAAGGAGTTGTAAATGGTATAATTGAAATACTTAACAAAATGAACAGTTTAAACTATCAAAATAAATGAGACTTGTGATGAATTCTATGAGCCTAAACAACACCATGCAATTAAGATTATGGACTGTATGAGAGCCAATTCATCTTCTTAATTTGTCTAATAATGCTTACCCAAAGGAGAGGAAAAAAAAAAGAAAAGGGAAAATAATTAGATTGATTTTCTGTAATTTTTTTCACAATAATAAAGATCTGTCATTTTTGAAATTATACCATTAATCAGTAACCAATGCAGATTTGCCAAATGTTCATTCCCTTGACATAGTTTCACAATAAATATATATATATATATATATATACTTAATATTATATATAATACTTGTAAATTAGCAGTGAATACAAATGCAATTCATGGTTGAATGAATGAAAAAAATTATTTAATAATAATAGGAAATTTATTATACGTACTCTTCAAAAGAGTATATTATATGTAACTTTAATTATTTCACTTTCTTCTTTAGTTCTTCCTTAATTATGAAAATATTTTAATTATAATTTATGAATGTTTCGTTATACTGATGTGTATTTGATTACAGTATGATTTTTTTTTTAAATTACCCTAATCTTTCCCTAATTCAGTAGTTGTTGATGTCACAGTTATTTAAAATGTGAAGAATGTTTTTGAATGAATAAAAAAAAATGATATAATTAAATATTTTAAAATGATATCATAATTAAAGAAAAAAATTAATCATAATTAAAAAAAATTACGTAAAAACACAATATTTAGTTATTTTTTAAAATTTATTATTAACATTAATTTTATATTAAAAAAAATCAATTTTATAGAATTAATTAATTAAGCCCATAAAACCTTCCCTCAATTTCAAATCTCTCTCTCTCTCTCTCTGCTCTATATCTCTCTGGAACCTTCTTCCCTCGGGAACTTTCTACACCACTCTCTACTCTCGCGAACCTTCTCTTTCCCCTCCACCACGTCACCTATATGAAACCCCCACTTAACCATCCAAATCAGAAGCAAACAGACTGCGATCTGCTAAGCACTAAAGCTAAATTCGAAAATGGCTTCATCGCTAGCTCTCAGAAGAGCCACCGCCTCGGCTCTCTTCAACAGGCTCGTCAACCCTCTCCGCCCTGTTTCGGTCGCTCGCTCCTTCAGCACCAACGCTCAGATCGCCAAACACGACGGCGATGACAGAAGCGTCGATGTCGAACGCCGCCCCGGAAGATCCATCTTTCCAGGTAGTAGTTATCTGCTACCTTTATTTTCGTGATATCGAACTCTGTACTTTGTGATTTGTTCTGTTCTAGTTGATTAATCGACTCCATTTTAGTTACGCTTATGTAGCTTGATATTTGTGATTTCTTCGCTTGATTTTGTTATTGTTTTTGTCTTCAAATCTTCATTTTCTGATATCACAACTGGAGTGGATTTATGCCGTTGCTGTTAGTTCAATTCCTATCAAAACTCAATTCTCTGTTTTATAGATTCTGTATTGTTTGATTTTCGAGCTTTTTCGCTCTCAATCACATCAATTAATTACGTTTTTCTAATGTATCAATTCATGACAAATTTAAGTGCTTAATTTTGTTAGTTGAAATTGAAATCTGGAAATTGTGAATGTTGCAGATGTGCTGGATCCATTCTCTCCAACTCGGAGCTTGAGCCAGTTGCTGAACCTAATGGACCAATTCATGGAAAATCCTTTCCTGGCAGCTTCACAAGGAATTGGAGCTGGAACGAGGAGAGGATGGGACGTGAAGGAAGACGACAAGGCGCTGTATCTGAGAATGGACATGCCAGGTCTGGACAAGGAAGACGTGAAGATTTCAGTGGAATACAACACACTGATCATCAAAGGAGAAGGAAAGAAGGAATCAGAAGATGAGGAGGTCGTGCAGAGGTACTCAAGCCGGCTTGACCTCCCTCCGAATCTCCACAACATTGATGAGATCAAGGCTGAGATGAAGAACGGTGTCTTGAAGATTGTTGTTCCCAAAGTCAAGGAAGAAGAGAGGGAGGACGTGAGGCAGGTTAAGATCGATTAAGGAGCGTCCACATATGCTACTCTGCAAAAACTACTCTCTGTGTTCTATAGTGCTGGTGAGAGTGTTATATTTAGCTTACTTTTGTGTTTTTAGGTTGTAATCGAATCAGAATCGATGAATAAAATGGAATTCTGAATGAGAGAGACAGAGTGAGTGTTAATTCCAAGTTCATCTACAATTTGTTTCATTTTAACTAATGAAAATTTTAAAAGAATGCAGCCTATGCAATTCTAATTATGTTATTTTTTTGTTATTATAATTTTTGTTATGATTAATGAGAATTTTAATTATGTTTATGTTTAGTTATAATAAATTGTACATAAGTTTTTCTTTTAATCAAAAGACCCCATTTTAATGCACCAAGAATCTTCTAGAGTGAAATTTTCTTAAAATTTTCTAGAGTACTACATTGTGTGGTTGAGATTTATTGGCAAGTCACATCAGAAAAATTGATGTGACTTACCAGTAAATCTCAACCACACAATGTAACACTCTAGGAAACTTTAACTTTAGGGAAAAATCACTCTAGAAAATCCTTGCTCATTTTAATGTGTGGGGTTAATTTTAATTTTTTTTTTGAATGAATAGGATTTTATGGAAAAAAATTAAAAAAAAAAAGTAAGTAATTGATGGTGTAATACCATAATGCGACCAAGTCAAGTTCGATGGTGTCCGCGTCAACGGGCGATACTTTCTCGCCTTCGAACAATGGGAAAAGAGCTCAGGCTTTTCTACCCTGGGGAGTACACAATGGTGAATTGTAAAAACGAAATTCAACAAAACCAAGACGAAGAGGTGAGGTGAGGTGAGGTGAGGTGAGAATTCCCCCTTTTAATCATCAGAAAATGGCGTCTAAGGCGGTAGCGAGCGCCCCAATCTTCATAGCCAAGCTCCTCCGCCACAGCAACCGCCAACTCAACCACTCTACTCTAACCGCTCCTTTGGCCTCCGCTACTAGAACATTCTCTTCACGTCCTCCGCCACGCAACCACAATGGTATATGTATATATATATATATATGTTTATATGCGTCAATCGCACTCCACATGCCTATGTTTACGTTTATGCACATACAAATGCACTAGTCTTGGTTGGTAAGAGAAATTATAAAATTCTCATGAAATATTTTGTGTTTGTACTCTTTAATCAATCATCATTTAATATATTTTTTAACTATTTAACATAATATTTTATTTATCTTTATGTTTTCTTAATCATAATATTATAAAATATTATGAGTTTATATTTGAAAATTATTGAATAATTATCGTCCTTGCTAATATGTGTTTTTAGTTGATACGTTTTTTTAGTTGTTGCGCCGGACAAAGTTACGGTTGGCCAACTACTTCATGTGTCTTATAAAAAATTTAAATTATTAAATTAAGTCTTCGTTTGATAATGATTTTTTTTAGTTGATTTTTTTACTTTTTTAATCTGAGATTTTTTTATTTATTTGGTATTTTTAATTGATTTTTTTGGCTTTTTAGTTTTGAAATAATAGATTTTTTTATCTTTTTGTGATTTTTTGACTTTCTTTTTTTGGTATTTTTGTGATTATTTAGCCAAACATGATAACCAATCACCACCTAACATTGGTTTGGTTGGGGTATTACAATTTGAGATTATTAATTTATGAGATTTATATCTTATTGTTTAAATGTAAATTTTATCATTCATATTGGATTTTAACAATCATTTTATTCAATAAAATTAATAATTTTTTAAATTCTGTCGCCTATGTTACTAGATTTGAGTGTCAGGTGCAGGTGCGTATCTAGAAATTGAATTTATCAAATTTTAAATTTAAGGATACGTAAAATCGATAAAAAAATAGTTATATTTTTATATTTTTAATTTACTATGTGAGATAAAATAATACTATACGTAACATACAACATCAAAAAAATGTTTTTTAGCATTACACAACAAATGATACATATAAGATAATGTTAAATATATGGGTAAATTACAAACACATTTCCTGAGATTTACTTAAATTAAAAATTACTCCCTATGATTCTAGAAATTACATTACGCCCTTTAAGATTTTTAATTTCATCACAAATAGGTTTTTTTTATTAATAAATTATCAAATTAATTAACAACTTTTAATAATGTTAAAATTTTGTTTCAATTAATAAGTCAGATAATTTTATTATTGTATAGATGAATAGTTAGAAATTTCATTTTTCAATTAATTTTGTTAAATAAAAAAATTTGACAAGAAGGTATTTGTAATTTTTTAAACAACATGGGACAATTTATATTTTAAGCAAATTTCAGAATGTGTATTTGTAATTTATCCTAAATATAAATATTTAATTTATTTTGAATAGCAGGTAGCATAGCCTACTGGTAATCAAACATTTATTTTTCTTTATCATTTTATATTACAGAGTAATGCGACAATTTATTATTATTTTCATACAATGAACAAATTATAATTTTTAAACATTTTTTTTTTTTTAACACTAATCTGGGCTCCCTATACAAAATTTTCTATGTTTTGTTGCTGCAGATCCGAACCCATTTTTGAGGACAGGAGAGGTGGGAGCATGCAGAGTGGATAAGTCAGAAAAGGAGTGCTATATGAGGGTGGACGTGCCCGGCATTGCCCAGGAAGAAATCAGAGTGTGGTCAGAGTCAGGCTTCATTTATTTCTACGGCAAAGATACTAAACTCCCTCACTATAACTACGATGGGAGGGCCTTCGGAGGATCCATCAGTTTCAACCCTCAAAGCTATGATTCTGACGGACTTAAGGCTGAGGTCAAAAATGGTGTTCTATGGCTTTCCATGCCAAGGCTCAAGGAGGAATAGGGTGTTTGGGATTTTCTGATGTTATCAATTTTGGGGGTGATTTTTATGTTTCATGTTTTTGTTTTTGTTTTTGCTTTCCACTTTGTGTGTTTTGTTGTTGTTGTGGAGGTGGAATAGGGAAAATTATCAATACTCCTTAAGCGTATTCAGGTGGTGTTTCAAAGTAGTAATTATTAGTCTAAATTATAGGACACACTACTTTTACGTTAGAGTTATAGGAGACAGATGATGTGTCTAACCTGTAAATAGAAAGGAGCAATGCACCAGGAGTACTGAATAATTTCTCTAGAAATAGTGTGTTTGGTTTTTTGGGCTATAATTTCCCTGTGTGTTTTGGTTTTAAACTCACTCATTATATATCATTATACAATGTGTATATATTAAAGAATATATACGTAGTAAAAATAATTCTCAAAAATAAAAAAAAGATGAGGAAAAAATCTACAGGTGGATTTTTGAGCTCTATGCTTTTCAAACGAGTTACAAGAAAAACCTATTAAAACTAAATCAAATGCAAAATGCTTTTCAAACGAGTTACAAGAAAAACCTATTAAAACTAAATCAAATGCAAAAGTTTCTTGAGGTTAATAAATAAATAAATAATGATTAACTATTAAATTATTGAAAAAAGAATATTACTTTATCGGTAATTTGGAACTCTCGGTTAAATTAGAAAGAGAACAAAACGTCACTAATTGGATACAAAGGCGCCTTACATTACACCTCTTTCATCACTTAGTTAGGGTTGTTTTTGATATAGAATTTTTAAATTTTTTTCTTATTATGAAAAGATATACAAAAAAATAGAGGGGTGATATGATAAAAATAAATCAATAAATAACTTATTTGAGTGTTCCCAAACCATGCCTTAATACATATTGAATGCCTCTTTATCAAAATAATTTTAATTGTGAAAGTTAGAGATATTGTTATAATTTTAAATAAAATTTACAGTATTAAAAAAATAAAATTAGATTATGAGTAACTATAAAGGGCCTCAACTAGATATTTCAAAGTCATTTTTTTATAAAAAAAAATAATAATAGTAAATAAATAAATTTACAAATAGAAAAAAAATTTATACTTATATCGTAAATGATATAGCAGTGACCTTTTACAAGCTGTAATAGTGTTTTACCTTAAAATGAAAGAATTACAATTTTTTTCTTTATTGTGTATAGAATTTTGTCATAAATTCTATTTGTATATCATTAGTCTGTTTATAATTATAAATCTTAATATTGAGTGTCTTTGTTTAATATAAAATCATCACAAAATACTACATTTGAACTTTTTATATAAAAAGTTTGGTTTTAAAAAATAATAATAATAATAACGTGTACATACAAAAATTGGAGAAATTATTGGTTAGCCATGGGACAATGCCAAAGGGTGTCGTAATAATTGTTATGATTCGTAAAAGGTGTAGGATTCATGAATTTTTGTTAAATAATTAAGAAAATATGAGAAGACATGTTAAATTGTGATTGGTGAGGGATATAGTCACGTCGATGGATCCTTAATTTTTTCACAAATTGACATGGTGGGATCTTTGTGGTTGTGGGACCCTAGTCTGATCTTTGTCCAAACAAACGTGAATTAGATTGGAGAGTAAGAAAAACCCTAGCTTAGCAATACAGACACTTGAAGAAAAAGAAAAGAAATCATACAAAGGAAAGGAGGTGAGCTCAAACTCAATGGGTTATTTGGCATGATTAATATAAATGCACTTATTTATTTGGGTCATATCACCTTTCTATTTTATTTTTTTTGTACATCTTTTCGTAAAAAATCAAAAAATATATTTATTTAAATCTCAGCATTGCTAATAATGGCTATGAGGAGAACCACCTCTTCACCTCTCTTCACCAAGCTCATCAATCCCAACCGCAACCGCTCTGCCACCGTCGCCGCTTCTCTCTCTCCAGTCATCCCATCATCAAAGCAAATTGCACTATTAACGCCCATAGCGGCTCTTTCACCTGAATTCCCCATTCATCGTAGTACTCATCTCTATTTCCACAAATCAAACTTGTTTTTTGTGAAATTGATTTGGTTCAATTTTTGAATCCATTGTGTTTTAAAGGTACTTGCGATCAATAACACATGAAAAATCCATTTCAAGTATCGGCAAAGAGAGTGGAGGAAGGTTTGTTTGTGAGAATGGAGATGCTGGGGATAGAGAAGGAAGGAAGACGTGAAGCTTTTGGTGGAGTATGATAGTGTGTTGATAAAGGGGGAGGGAAGGAAGGAAGCATCGAAATATGAGGATACTGGGAGGACTTACAATGCTAGCATTGAGTTTTCTTCGAATTCGTTCCAGCCAAAAAAGATCAAGGCTGAGTTCAAGAATGGTGTTTTGAGGATGTTGATTCCAAAGCCCAACAAACTTTGAAGTTACGAGCGGATTGTATGAAATCAAGATCAAGTGATCACGGTAGGTAGGTAGGTCTGTCTTTGACAATGGTTCATTTTGGTAGGTTTGTTAGTCTTAGAAGTGAAGTGAAATTTTGTGTGACAAATAATGGCACTTGAATTAGTGACAATATTATCAATTAAAAAGAAATTTTGACATTGTGATCATCTAAATTAGTGAAAGATAAATAACTTTGCATAAAATAGAATGATATTAGTGTTTCACTTGTTGAAAGCGTTTGTACCTCACAGGCTCTGGGCTTCTGGCCTCAGGGTTCCACACACATGGCACTTCCTCTAAACCCATGTTTGTATTTATTTATTGGGTAAATTACACTGACACCTCATGAAGTTTATATTTATTACAGTTTCCCCCTCATATTTAGAAAATTACACTGACCCTCCTGTTAATTTAATTTTATGTATGATGATCATTACGGTGAAGGAAGAAACTGTTATGAAACTTTAAACCTCAGGGGACAATTTATAATGAAACTTTAAACCTCAGGGAGGGGGATGTAATTTTCAAAAGATGAGGAAAAAAATTGTAATAAACATAAATCTCAGGGGGTGTCAATGTAATTTACCTTTATTTTATTTATTAGAGTGGAGATAGATAAAATCATATGAGTAAAGTAAGGATTAATAATATAGTGGTGTTATCCACTTATATGGTTGCTACATTCTATTCTAAGAAAAATGACACTCCTAAAAATATCCTATAATTTAACCCACAGTGATCTAATTTGATTAAAATCAATTTTTGATTGGTTACATGCTTTTGTTTGGAAACATATTATTTTAATAATTTTTAAATTTTTTACGAAAAGGTGTAAACCAAACCAAACCAAACCAAACCAAACCAAGCCAAGCCTTAAGTCCCATCAAATGGGGTCGGCTACATGAATCCTTCTTCTCCACGTGGCCCTATCAAAGGGCATTTCATTAGTCAAATTAAGTAGATTTATATCTCTATTTATAACGCTAGTCAACGTTAATCTAGGCCTACCCCGTCCCCTAACACTTCCATCTACCTTTACAGCATTGCATCTCTTTACTATTGCCTCTGTTGGTCTCCGTTGAATATGACCAAACCATCTCAAACGATTCTCTCTCAACTTATCTTCTATCGATGCTACTCCTACCCATTCCTGAATACACTCATTCCTAATCCTTTCTTGTCTAGTCTTACCACACATCCACCTTAGCATCCCCATCTCAGCCACACTCATCTTATCTACATGTTGTTTATTGATTGCCCAACACTCCGTCCCATACAACATAGCTAGTCTAATAGCCGTTCTATAAAACTTACCTTTTAGTCTACAACACCCCAGACGCACTTCTCCACTTACACCATCCCGCATTAATCCTATGGGCCACATCTGCATCAATCTCTCCCGCTGTTGTGATAATCGACCCTAAATAACGAAAATGTTCACTCTTAGGCAGTTCTTGGTTCTCAATCTTCACTTCTCCTCTGCTTTCATTGTTACTGTTACTAAATTTACACTCCATGTACTCTGTCTTAGTTCTTTTTATCCGAAATTTTTTAGATTCAAGAGCTTTTCTCCAAATCTCCAACTTTGTGTTAACTCCTTCTCTAGTCTCATCCACAAACACAATATCGTCTGCAAAAAGCATACACCATGGCACGTCATCCTGAATATTTATCGTTAACTCGCCATAACTAAAGCAAAAAGATAAGAACTTAAGGTAGATCCTTGGTGTAACCCTACAGTGATAGGAAATTCATTTGTCTCTCCAGCTGGCGATCTAATAGTGGTCACCACCCCTTCATACATGTCCCTAATCACGTCAATGTAGCCTTTTGTCACCCCTTTCTTCTCTAATACCCACCATATTATATCTCGGGGCACTCTGTCATATGCTTTCTCAAGGTCGATAAACACCATATGGATGTCTCTTTTCTTTTCTTTATACTTTTCTATTACTCTCCTCAAAAGATAGATTGCTTCCATTGTTGACCTACCAGGCATAAACTCAAATTGATTCTCTGACACCTCTGTTATGTCTCGCATTCGGCGTTCTATCACCCTCTCCCACACTTTCATTATATGACATATTAGTTTGATTCTTCTATAGTTGTTACAATTCTAGACATAGCCTTTATTCTTATAGATTGGCACTAACATACTCTTCCTCCACTCATCTGGCATATTCCTAGTCAACAAAATTTTGCTAAACAACCTAGTCAACCAAGCAACTCCCTTTTTACCCAAACACTTCTAAGCTTCAATAGGGATATCATCGGGTCCTAAAGCCTTATTTGATTTCATCTTCTTAAGTGCAATCTCCACTTCAAAGTTCCTAATCCTGCGATAGAACCTATAATCTTGATTTATCGTATTACTGGCTATTTCTTCCCCTATTGTCGTACTTCCATGTTCTTCATTTAACAGTTTCTCAAAATAATTCTTCCATCTTTCATTAATCTCATCATCCTTCACCAATACCTTAGAATCCTCACTCTTGATGCACTTTACTTGATTTTTTGTAAATTTCATATATTCCCAATCACATTGACAAAAATGATCCAAACTAGTCAAATTACAAATAAAGCAAAATATTGAGATATCAACACTATCAGAATGGGTTCAATATGCAAATAGTTTTCAAAATGAGCTTCTTCTTTCTTTCTTTTTTTCTTTTTTTTCATTTTCAAACCCACTAGATTCAATATGCAAATAGTCAACAATGTTAGATAAAAATTGCATGAACTCTAAAATTGTTTTGAAATCCAATAGTGTCAACTAACACCACTGTAATGAAGGTAGCTCCGCCCCTGATTACATGATAGAAGATTCTATAATACACATTTCATAAAAGATGTGTATCATATGTCTAGTTATGATCTGTGTAGTTTTTTTTATCATAACTCATTTTAATATTGATTATGATAGCATCA